CCTGTCGCGATAAGCAATTCATTGACTTATCGTACGATAAATAAAAATGAACTCGATACATTTACATTTACATTTACTGTGACTAGCAGTTTGAAAGGATGCACTTGAATATATATTATCATTATGTCAGTGGTCTAAAATGGTCATACAACGGTGCCGACAATATTATCGTTTATCGCAATAATTTCCGGAAATATGTATCCAACAAAATTAATTATCGTGAGAGGCCTATACATGAAACACACACACACAAACAAATCTACAGACTTACTCCAAACTGCCAAATATATTAATTAACACACTCTCACTCTCATATACTATTTGACTCTATTTTGGCCAAGTAGAACAATAAGCAGCAGACTTTTATATAATTTCTACTGGATCTTAGATCTGCGCATGCGCAATACGGGTCAGGGATTGACCAACCGGCTCCCACTGCTCTGCTGTCTTTTAACGTTGTTAAGAGTGGTGGGGGCGGGGAGGGAGCGGATCGACAGCTTGAGCAGCTGTCAACTCAACATTGTAAATAACCAACCAAAAACGATCGCCGGTTCATCTTGTTTTTGGCGTGAGAATAGTTTGGGCAGCGTGAGAGCGTGAGATTGAGAATGAAAGCGTGTGTCACACGCCAGATGCGTGAGAGTTGGCCACCCTGAACTAACTAGCAGTTTTTTTTAACACAAGACTCAACCTAACGGTGAGCAAATTGTGTATTGTGTAAATGAAGCCCAGATTGACAAGTCACTACCATTGCGACTTATCAATATAAATAGAGACATCTCAATCATAGACAAATAAAATACGGAAGTAATCCTGTGATGTCCCTAATAGGTTTGTGAAGTGCCATTAAGTCGATGGATCCAGCTAATAATAAGTCACTTTAGGCTCTACTATTAACAAAACGGGTAAGTTATGTAAAAAGTTGGCTTCACTTCTGCTCTATAAAAGGTCCTTACACACCAAGCCGATTTTCGGCGTCGATAGATGTCGGGCCGTTGATGAGCGCCGTGTCGCCCTACTCAGATTGGGGTGTACTGCACCGTAGTGTCTTTTCAGCCGTGCCGACACCTTCCGCCGCTGATTCGACATGTTGAATCGGGAGGCCGTTGGCCAAAGAAATCACTCTGATTGGCTGTTCAGCTTATCGAATCAGTGCATGAGAAGCGAAACGGAAGTGAGGGACCCAAACAAACTATTAAGAAGGCAAATCTGAGATTTCATTTAACTCCAGCTCTCGACACAGGTTCGGGAAACACTCGCTGTAGAGTGAAAATGGAACACACACGCTATTTGTTGTTTGTTTATATCACGCAGCCTGTTCTTCTTCTCTCGGTGTATCACGCAGTCTGTCTTCCGGTAGTTGCAGTTCGTATGTGCTACTTAGCCGTCGGCTGAAGTCTTTGCGGTGTGTTCCAGTGCGAAACATGGCCAAGACGCAGGAGACGTGAGGCGACGTTCCGTCGGGACGTGTTCTTTGGGGTCAGTTTGGTGTGTAAGAGGCTAGACAGCTAGCAGATAGTAACACACCTTGACTAGCTGCTTTCACTGCAAGGCTCTGTGCCAAACCTAGTGGTGAACAAAGAGAATATTGCATATCATTTGAATGCAGCTTTACCTTAAAAAACAGCAGTAACAGCTTAAGCTAACACAGAAAACAACGCAACACAACATAGCCGTAGTGTTCCCATAATGGACAATGTTAGACATCAACATGGTGGCTATTAGGGGGTCTCTGGGCAGTGCTGGGTTTGGCCGGGTCTTACTGGAGGCTATATATACCCTGAAATGTGAGCGGATAAGAGACTGCTGATGTCTGTGAGGGCCACACTGACGCCTCTGCCCTTGCTTTATGCCCACTACCACCTCAGTGCCAAGTGTTTCATATTAAAACAAGACTAACAAGGCCATAGTTGCACATTATCCAGCGTTCCCTAGCTACTGGTGCGACACTTTGATACCCCTACAGCCAAGTTTAGTGAGTTGCAGTGCGTTGTTGTATACCGTAATATCATGAATTCACAGCTACATACAAAGACAAATCTAACTGGCACACACACATTTTAGAATTTCATATAAAACCACTAAATTAAAGTGGAAATAAAATATCTGCCTAATAAACGTTCTGTAAAGATTATATGCTATTGCCCTTCAGCACTGCCCTTCAAAGCTCCATGTCCGACTATATAGCTCTGTTACCTTTAATTTCCTATCCTTGGTCAGACTTTACAAAAAACAAATAAACTCCAAAACACAACATTTTCGTTTCCACTTAAATGTTTTGCCACAAGGAAGTTCTTACCTCTCACTACATGTCTTTGTTACACAACCACTTTTCTACAATATAAAAACCAGGATTGGCGCAGCCAATTACCACCATCTGTTGGTGACTCACATGAGAGCATATAAAAGCAAAAGTGACCTCAGAGATGACTCAATCCACACACTGATTCACACTTTTGGTCTGTACAGCTCACTGGCACACTTCTTTATTCATTCAACTAATCATTTGGTCAATTAAATGCTTTCAATATTTAAAACACCAATCAATCAGAGCAATTCCACTGAGAGATAGGCATTAGAAATACACAAGTGGCTTAAAGCAATTAGTGGTTTCAACACAAGCACATTGTTCCGGTACTTGACTATGATTGGTCGAGCCGGCCAATGTAAAATGATTAGAGCTGTGACCACATTACAACAGTTTCAACGCACCAATTAGTCACTTGATGGGAGAAGAGGTCAGAAAAGATGGACAGGATAGAGGAGGAAGACACTTACTTAAATAAAGTATAGCAGGATGTTAAGTAACACAGAGACAACATACCATACTAAATACTCTGGCACAGTAGAGGAGATGTGCACCCCGCCATAAAACCCAAAGAAAAAGAAAAGGAAGATTGCCAAGAAAGGACATATGCTTAAATGAATGCACAATAAACAAAAAAGGAACAAAGGGATGATATGTTGTGTGCATAAAATGCCCCCTTAGCTCTTGTAAAATCACGTAATCACGGTTTATGGCTTAAATTCATTTTTACTTACTCAACACACCTCAAATCTATTCAAAAGTGCAATATAGCGGACCTGGTTGTAAATGATTGTCAAGTGTCAATGCCACTCATTTTGTTTTTTATGAAAAAATATATTGTTTATGGAATATTTCAAAGAACCCCCCCCCCGGCTGGGTTTTGGTTGAAAATGTTGATGGTTAGATAGAAAAAATAGATCACCCTTTCTACTCTATCAAATATTTCTTACTTAGTCTTTGAGTAAAAGTGCAAACGTTTCCGCTGATAAATGTACATATAGGTCCCATGTAAAGAAATTCCATTTGTAATAATAAAGCAGGTCAAATTGCTATTCTAATACTTTGAAAACAATACAATGCTCAAACCATTACACAAAATCACATTTTCCCTATTCAGAAACTGCCTACGAGCCGGCAGGACTTCAGTAAAGTTGTGATATTACAACTATATCATTTTCATAGATTTAAACATTGTAAATGCATTGTACATTTGCAGTGAATGGCATAAGAGGAGAGGAGGTAAACATGGATTGAAACTGTTAACTAACAACACCACAGAAAATCGAATTCTCAGTTGGACAACTCTAGACATCTAAAACAGAACAATGAGCCACAACTCTAATAGAGTTTTTAGAAAAGCGCTATATAAGTCTCATGTATTATTATTATTATCATTATTAATGTTGCTTTTTAATGTATCATAACATACTGTATGTGTTTTATGCAAATAATTCTTCTGAAAAGTAAGTACGTCAGGTGTTATTTTAATGTATTACAAAGTAAATGTTTTCCTCTGGATTGTACTGGAGTAGAAGTAAGTGAGGTAAATGTAGCTTTAGTGTTGCAGTTGAGCAAATACAGTCTGCTTGTTTCCACCACTGGCAATAAGCTAATTCCGGCTGAGGTATTGATTTATTATTTGTATTCCAATAGTGCTGTTACTTTTAAGCAGTTATCCTTTGCCAATTGTATGGTGTTTTAACCTGCTTTACAAAAAAACGAAATATAGACGCCTTTTCTTCATTGGTTCCCCGTCACTTGATTGATTTTTAAAATGTGACTTCTGACAAATTGGACACAACATGTCAGGCATTTCTGTATTTGAAGGGATTGTTGTGCTCTCTGACTTTGAGGAGGAGCTTCAGATCACCTAAGTAGCCATTTCTAACAGTTCAGAGGTCGAGGCCGAAAACAGGGGATACTTGCTTTTGTTGCTTCTTAAGCTCCTAAACAGCCAACAATTTTATATTTGTATTTTGTGCATCTACTGTGACACGTTTCCATGCTTTAATGTTCAAAAAGGTTTTCTTTTTGTTCATACTGCTTGTGCTGCAGCACCTCTTTTCACCCAGACTGCTCTGATTGGTTAGCCGGTTAGCTCTGTTGAGATTTGTCAACCGCTAAGAGATGTCCCACCCCTCAGCCTATCACGTAAAATGTGTTTGAGCACTAGGCAATTGAAGCACAAGTGTTACATAGGGATGTCATTATGTCACAGAAGTAAGCAAATGTTTACAATGGAAGCGTTTCAGGCGGGGGGGAGAAACTCCCTCTGGAGGGAACACAGGGATTTTAGCCTTTGCAGACCATTGACATGAACATAAACCTACATAACACACTAGAGGAAAGGGAAAAGCCCAAAAAGAATCGTTGGGTCCCTTTAAAAAACACACCATGAAACCCATTTGTTTTCTCTGGCCTTCTCTTGCTTGTGCAGACCAAACTGTTGGACAATGCTTTCCAGCATCACGAAAACCTTTGCTGTAACGTCAATGCCTCATTAGAGTCACAGTCTAAATGTCTACATGCTGTAAACGGAGAAGGAACTGACACATAGCATCAACCTTTTGTTAGTAATTTCTCTGAGTCATTTATAAGCTAATAAAACACAACACACAACTAATGTGGCTAATGTTTTCTTACTTTCTGTGTGTGTAAAAGTGTTAAATGTGTGTCAAGTTAAATGACCTACCGTTTATGTTTCAGTGTGTCAGTCCCCGCGGGTTGTGATAGCTCTTGGGCAGCTCATCCTACTGTTGCTACCCCGCAGTGTACACACACGCACACACACTGGCTTTCTGACGCTGATCACTCCTGTGGAAACACACAGACATGTTACATGACATGCCACTCAACCCAGAGGACACAAAAGTAAACAAACAACATTGAAATACGATTCATTTGTTTCTGTTTTACAAACGCATACAGTATCATTAGATCGTTAGCTGTCAAACATATCAAACTATCTGACACAAAACCCAAGCCCGATGATAGCAAATGCTGAACCTTAGAAATGTTATATTCCCAACAGGCCAATAAAGTAGCAAAGCTAGCAGAAACCTACGTCTCCATGATCTGTTTTGGGCTGTCTCTATCAGAAAACAGTTTGACTTTACAGAAAACACGTTCAGCTCGAAGTGACTCTACAGGTCAACACATTCTCCGGATTTCATATCACCATGAAAGATTGAGGATGTATCCTTTGGCACGTATTATCAAATCCGGAAAAGTTGCTCAATTATAAAGCATGGGGAAAGAGAAAGTTGATAGTTTGACAGCTTATTTAGGTGACAAGTGCATATTTCACAACCAGCTACATGTTTACTATTCAATGCAAACACCTATCATCTGTAGGCATGCTACACCCAAGGAGTTGATCACGGGTTCTTAACTCATGCTAGAAAAATCCAGAACTTTCCGAAACATTACCCCTGTCCTCTATTATTTTCTCCTCAGGAAGACATGGCCTACAGCTGAGCAAACAGCACACACAGCATGCATTCAACTGACAATCAGGTAGTTAAGCAGTGAAGTTGGTTAGTTAGAGCCTCACCCTTGTAGTTCTGAGTGGCCAGGCCGATACACAAAAAGTAAAGAGGTGCTACTTGGGAGGCTGTGGCCCCGGAGTGTGAGAGGATAGTATGAGCACAGCGATCCAGAATGCCACAGATCAAGTTACAGAGCCGGTAAATATAGCAGGCGCCTATGACCTCTACAGGTCACTTAACACTCAGTGGCATTCCAAATGGCTATATCACTAGGCATCAAGTCCAGTGCACTACTGTAGCCAGCAGATTGGCTTCTTTAACGGGAGCTAACATCTTAAATGAATGGCATGATTCAGTAGATGTAGTCACTTTGCATTCCTCAAGTAATAGTGCTACTTCATAACAATACTGTACCAAACTGCCACACTAGGGCATGTGTTGGCAGCAGAGGTGGAAGAAGTACTCAGATCTTGTACTTGAGTAAAAGTAGAAGTACCAGAGTATAGGAAAACTCTGTTACAAGTAAAAGTCCTGCATTCAAAATGTTACTCAAGTAAAATATCAAAAATAATTAGAATTATTATAATAATTAGACTTTAGGTGCAACTAAAGTCTTATTTAAGTGTTAATTATATTTCACATCATGAAACCAAATCTGTAAAGTAACTAAAGGTATTAAATACATGTAGTCTAGTAAAAGTACACGATTTACCTCTAAATTGTAGTGGAGTAGAAGTACCAAGTATCACAACATTGAAATACTCAGGTAGCCTATACTTGAGTAAATGTAATTCGTTACTTGACGACACTGGTTGGCAGTGACAGTAGTTGAAAAACTGGTGTATGAAAAAAAAAAATACATTACCAGTACCGAATCAAGAATTTTCTAGCAAAGCAAAGCAGTTGAGGTATGTGTGTATTAGACAATGGAAAAACACAGAGTGGTGAACGGTCTCTGTGCGGGGTATAGCATTACATGACGCTGGGAGGAGATGGGACGACACTGGCACAGAAGCCATACTCGCTGCACTGCAGTGTGTCCGTTTTACATGGGGCTGAACAGACTCGTTTGAGGCAGATATCTATGTATTTGAAGTATTCCGCATAAAGTATGGAGAAAACGTTATTCAGTATTAGATAACCACTTAGACACAAGAGCGTTGCTCGGTAATGGCAGGTTTGACAGAGGAGGCTACAGAAGGGGGCGGAGAAGAGATTGTATTAGTGAAAACCATGGCGAGATCCTTTAGACTGAGGTAGCAACGTGCAAAGTTAAGACAACGGTCAATACCTAAATAACATGGTAACTTCGTCCATTTAGGCTACCCTGGGTGGACGTCCCACATCGGCTAACTAGCTTATCTCGCTAGCCTCCTCAAATATCCACTGAGTAGAGACTAGAGAGCCGCGGTGTGACGCGCCAGTGTTCACAGAGCACCGCGCCAAGTGTGTGAGAACTGTGGCACTGCACATTTAATGGTGAATAACGGTAGCTTGGCCCTTTAAACTTAAAGAGTTTATGTTATATGGCCTCCCATTATACACAACTTTATGAAGTACGCTTACGTTACGTGTCTTGAAACTGAAATGTTCCTGAAATAAAGAACTGTTTCGCAGTCATGGTATGCCAAAACATCTGAGTGACTTATTGCGACTTCTATAATGTTTAAAGGTGAAGTAATACGGGAGTTTGCTTATGTCCATAGGAGAGCACAGCAGCACTCAGTGTTATGGTGGTGTGTCCGAGGCACCAAACTGCATTCACTCACCTCACAGTTGGAGACCATCCCGATCCAAACAGGCAGCGAAACGCCCCCAAAAGTATCGTTTTGGCTGGTTAGTGTTGCTTTTTAGACCATTACTTAAGTTGCTGTGACGATAGTGTGGAATGTAGAACTACATCGCCATGGGTTTTGAATTAAAACCACCGCTGGTATTCAGCCATATCTTCTATCCCCTTGCAGTTGTAGAGTTTTTCTGCAACCAAGTAACGGTTCTGTTAGCTTTAACGGTGACGTCAGTCCAGTAACAGAGCTAATTTTCTGATTGGTTAATACTTCCTGTGAGCGTCACAAGCCAGCGCAGTGACCTGCCTCCTACACCGTCACCATAGTGACGAACGTAAACATCAGAAATTGCTTTCATTGAAAATAAAATGTTGCTTTCATGGTTATGGGAAATATGAGATCTTCATACCAATAATAATTCATACACACCTAAGATGTGTGGTTGTGGTTCAAAGAACCACAATATATACTGTTCAGGTATTTCCAGTGGTAAATACAACCACAAATAATGCTTACTCCGCTAAATTACGCTAAAAACATGTGGCCATATTTGGTAGGAACTGAAGTAAATCAATGTTGTTAGATGAAGTGCAATCACCTAGTTATTTTAACCATAAGAATTTTCAGATTTTGAATGCAACTGGAGCTGTAACCAAATACTTGAATATTGATGATCTGTAGAATGCTTTATGACCATTGGGAAAGTATTGCTATTAATTTGTACAAGTAGTAAGAAGGCTAAATACAAATAAATCTTAATCTTAATAATCATAATATATATAAATATTTAATATGTATTTTAAATATGCTTGAATGCTAAAAAGATCTTACACACAAACCCATTTTTGAAAGACGTCAATACAAATAAATAAATTAAACATTTAATATCATTTTGTTAATTCACTTAGTTGTATTATGCATCAATGCACTGCAGTTTTGTAACTGTGTTGTTTTAATTACATACATTAAACGAGATCCCCTAAACCATGTCTCATTGCTTTTTTTAAGTATTCCAATTTCCAGTACTCAAGTAGTCATTCATGCTGGAGTGTGCTAGTGTCTGCATCAAATTGAATGAGTCATGAAATCCTACTGCAGTATAACCATCTGTAAAACGCATCCGGAAACCTGACATAGATCCAAGGCTGCTGCTGTAAAATAAACAAAGTATCACACACTGAGGAGGGAGACTGTCTTTTATTACCATTCAACTTTCTTTACATAAAGCTAATATTTAAAGATGACTCATTCTGTTATATAATCCTTGATATAGGTTCCTACCGAAAAAAGAATGCTTTAATTGCCACAGATTGTGAACAGTTGTGTGTTACAGAGTGAGTGATTAGCTTAATACTGGTATATAAGGCTGAGCGGGGATAAAACCTGGTCACAATTTAGCCCAACCAAAATCTATAACACTGTAAATAAAGACAAATAAAGGCTTCTGAGATTCACATGAGCTCTGGTGCAGTTCTTTACGAGGCAGACGATGACTCAAACAGTGCATTTACTGATACATCCCTAATATCAAGGGCTTATTTATTTCCGCAGTTCTCCATTTAGACAGGATGTGCTGTGCTGAAGCTTCCAGATGTTTAGCATTATGTGTGATCATTTATCTTAACAAATAGAGCTCATCAATGCATGCTTCATTTTGGTTGGATTTCTTCTTAAAAAATGAACAACCTTGAGCAGAGGAGAGGGTGTTGGAATACAAGCCAAATCACCCCCTCAATTGCTCCTCAGGAAGTATTTCAATTGATGAATTCATATAATTTTTTAAGATTGCCTTTTCACCCAATTGATGACTCCTTTGATGAAACAGTTTAAACGCTTTTGGAAATATTCCTATTTAATGTTTGGCAGGGGGTAGGATGAGAAGATTGATACCACACTCTTACGCATGTACACTTAATGCGTATGTACATAAAGCAGCCAGGTGAGCTGTTCCCGCCAATTTCCAGTCTTTATGCTAGGCTAAGCTAACCGTCCACTAGCTGTAGCTTCATGTTTAGCGTGCGAGAGTAGCACCAATCTTCTTACACAGCAAGTAAGCGTGCTAGCCTTTAACCCAAAGTGTGAAATGATATTGTTAATTTAAAGGTCATATCAATCTCTGTAATGTGTTTTAAAGCCATGAAAGCAAGTCATATTTCTAGTGATTGCAAACAGAGATAAACAAAAATTGAGTCATTTTTAAATTAAAACTACAACCATAACATGCAAAGTGTTTGTACTGCTTTCAGCTATTGAGGTTACTGATGGTGGAATTATAATCTCGGTTTGAATGTCTTCTTATAACATTTTTAAGTGACAAATAAAAGACAGTCAAAGAAAGCCTTACAGTATGATTCTGTGGGACTGATAACAGAAGTACATTAAAAAACATGCATACCAAAATAATTCCCCCACTCTGCAAATTATTACATAATACATGTTCTCATTTCAACACATTTCACACAGATAAGCACATACACTATTACTTAATTCAGATTTGGTGTTGGTGCCAGCACCGCACTGTTGCCTCTCTCTGTGCTGGATACTATGGCTGTGATTCAAGCTATGCTATTTATTCAGCACTAGAACGGGAAAACAGGTCTCAGTGCTGTTATTCTTTTCATATAACCTGCTGTAAGTCATTGCTACACCACTACACCGTATCCTTAAGTCTATAATCACACCTTCTAATATTCAAGTATAGCAGAATTCTTCATAAATTAAACAAATTACAACAGTCAGAATAGTTATACATATTGGGTATATTGATAACATGTTGAGGGTAAAACCAAGGTAAATACACCATGTAACACTTACCTAAACATAAACAGTGGATGAACTGACAGTACAAAAACAATATTTAAATAAGTGGCTTGACATTAAACTAAGTAGTCATAACACTGTGCACTGACAGGAATTCCTTTCTCTGTTAAGCTGCTTGCTATAGGAAAAATCAATAGCACCAAACATCACACGTCAATGCTCCTCTTACACTAGGTGCATGTTGTTTGATCAAATCAATACATACATGTACTGTATACATTCCACATTATGATAATAATACCCAATGAGCTTTGGTGAAAGAGATTCTGTGTAGGATGGAGTGAAATGTGAAGCAGATGACACAATGATATTGAGGCACAAATATACGTCTTTCACTGAAGTGTGCAGTTTAAAGGTGCATATGCATGCACATCAGTGAGGACAATTAATACATTCTATTCTAGGACATTTGAAATACACTGAAAAGAAAGTGCATTGATTAAGCATTTTTAAGATGCATAACACTAGATCTTGTGAAAGTATCTAAATGTAAAGTAAAAGGAAATCATATGATTTACATAAGAAAATTGAGCTTTAAATAAGGATTGATTTCATCTTAAAAGCCTAAATAAGAACATAAAAATAGATAAAAGCAAAATATATTACATTCATAAAGCTAGCTATGTAAATCAGAGATGTTGCCATAACCATGAACATACAGTACAAAGTAATGTCAAAGTCTCATCCTCATCTTACTCCCTAGAATGTGCTCAAATAACGTCTCATGATCTGGATAAGGACTTATAGCTAATGGAGGGACAGATGGATGAATAAATACAATCATATCTGTACTTGCATGATGTTATGGATAGAGAAGTTATGCCTTTATACTTCTCCAGTGCAGAATGTGCTTGGAAGATTGTCTTTTGGGTACCCTAATAGAGTGGTGCAGGTGTTTTGGGAGAGAAACCTGAAGTAAGGTCTGTGGTGTACCCAAACTGAAGACATTTTCACATTTTGTTCTACCACATAAAATACATCAGTAATACCTCACTTGTGAATGTCCAAAACTCTTATGTACTATAGACCAGCAGTTGCGGTGGTGGTGCGTATCCATGCGACTGTGATGTAGTTCGTTTATAGCCTAACTTCTGGTGATTGCTTAACATTTTTAAAAGTGGTGTGATTATGTGGAGTTAATATGTTTTGCTAAACAAAATGTGTATCTTAAATGTTTTTGGCCAAAGATCTTTTTTTCTACTGTTTTCAGAAGTCCAATTGAAAAATCCCATTGCTTTTTGTTGATAGAACCCTTGCGACACAAACTTCTGGGTAGGGTCTACAAAAATACGTCATCACTGCACCACTCTATTTGTTTTTTTCTGCGTCAATTCATTCCTTAAAATAAACAAAACTCATCTAGTGAGTTTACTGTAGTGGCAGAGCAACAATGAAACCTATAGGGGCATCACATGACATTACACAAAAGATAACCTGTGTGGGCATGTGTGAGTGTACACCTCTGTTGATACAGATTTGGATTTGCGATAAACACAGATCTTGGTCAGTGATAAAGCAAATATCCATTCATCCATTTACTGCCATTAATCCCTTACGGCTAAGAAAGCTAATCCAGAGGTCCCTCTTCCCATCAAAGTCTTCTTGACCCTCCCTATGAATCTTTGGGCAATCCAGAGAATGTCTCTATCCCAGGAGGCATACTTATCAGAAAACCGAACCACCTCAACTGGGTCCTTTCAACGCAAAGCTTCAACGGCTCTAATCTGAGCTTCCGTTAAATGTATGAGCTTTTGAATCTCTCAACCTGATTCAGATGTTATCGGCCAGTTAGATGAGTGTTGTCAGTAGTATCAGCTACATTGTTCGGTACCACTTTACAATAAGACTAGCCATATAACGGCGCGTCCACACAGCGGCGTGCGTTGACGCTTGGCGGTGGGCGTATCTGAAGCTTGGAGATTTTTTGCGAGCAACGCGACCAACAACCAATCACATGAATCTCCCGCCCCCGACATACAAAGCAATCGCAATGTTAAAACGAAGTAAACTGGATATAAAATCCCCAAACAGGCGAAAACCTACCAGTTTCATCCACTGTCTCTGCCTCCTCCCTCCATGCCTCGCTCCTCCGGTTTGTATCCCGGTAGATGAACAGAGACTGATCATACAGCACCGGGTGATTCACTACCGCTATAATGAATTTTCCCTCCATTTTTTTTAATATGAGGAAATGACCTGCGTAGTCTCTCCCAGCATACACACGGTTTGATTGGCTAGCGCTTGTACTGGCAGATTTGCATAAACAGGATTTCATTGGCTGACGCCTCCGTCGAGGCGTCAAAAGTTGAACATTGCTCAACTTTTGAAGCCAGCAACGCTCCACGTCGCTTCCCAAAATGCAGTTCGGCTAAAAGTGACGTCACCCCATTCAAAGTGAATGGGCAGAAGCGTTGGAAGCTTCAACGCACGCCGCTGTGTGGACGTGCCGTCAAGGATTCATAAAGGGTTTATAATTAGGTTATTAATTAGGTTGTAAACTATAATTAGTTTAAGTTATATTAAGCCTCAAAGTTATGCATACATTAGGGCGTGGTCACATTGAGTGACAGGTCGGTCCAGTGACTGCTGCTGTTAGCTTCCTGCTCTGCTAGCAGCTCCGTGAAGCTACAGGGGCTCTGCCTGCTCAGCTCATCCGGGAACATAACTTGAACTCGGCCGTGTTTGTTGTGCTGGTGCCTTGTGGACTATTCTTCATGTTTATATTGTACTATTGTGATTCGCTCCACATTTAAAACAGACGGTGCATGAATGCAGTTTTACGGTAAGTGAAATTCAAGTATTTTATTTATCTGTTGCTTATGTTTTTAGTCAGCTAACGTTAATGAATGTTAAGGCTTGGGTTAGATCTGTTACATCTGTGCTAACGATGCTAATCGTAGCCTCCAAGTTAAAACGTAATAGAGAAGTGTTAAGCATTAAGTGGGATAATACTGTAGAACAAACGGCTTCTGTTTGAGGTTGGTAAAATAAGGTCATCCTTGTAACTTAGAGAGATATTTTATTAGGTAGGTAACTTTATGCATTGATAAGGTTAATTTAAATTTGCTTTGATCGATTATGTAGACAAGCTAACGTCAAAGTAGTGTTGAAGAGCGGCCTATGTGTGTGAAATTAACCTCACAATAAGATGTGTGTATATTACAATTATTAATGTCATATTTCAAGATGATTACTACAATATAGTTGGTTGAGCTGGAGTTCATTATTACAATAGGCTCACTTTTGGCAGTTATAAATGTTAGTAACTCATTCATAAATGGTCATAAGAGATGCCAAGAAACATCAAGATGGAAGGGGGGGGGGGGGAATCAACTCTGTGAACAACAGATACCAAGGATGCTGGCTGATGAAGAAGATTAAGTAAGCTAAGTAGCCAATATAAGGCTTAGCAGTGCAGAGAAATGTGGGCTCACTATTTGGCAAGCAACCGGTCACGGTTGCCCTGTTTATCTCATGTCTTATAAAAGTGTGGAACGGTATATTCTATTTTTCTTTGGTAAAGGTCGGTCCAATGTACCCTATGCTAAAGGGATTAAGAGCAGAAGCAACAAAGGACCTTCCCTTAGCATTTAGATAACTCAACCAGCTCTTATCAAGGCTTCGAGGTAAATACTTCCAGGTCATTAAAATTAGTTAGCAACCTTCCTAAGGAAAAATAACTTGATGACAGGAAGGTACTCTTGCTCTTAAAGCAGTAACTCACACCCTACACAGTGGGAGAAATATAGATTTGTCTGACTATGGCCTTTGGCTCTCAACCCAAATACAAACTGCCCGAGGCTGTGCTGAAGGCTGCAGTCTGATCATGCCAACAAAACATCATACACAACACAACTACATCTTCTGCAAATAACAGAGAAGGAATTCTGAGGTCCTCAAATCCATAAAACTCACAAAACAATAGTGACAAGGGAGAACCGTGACTAAACAAACCACTGAAAACATGCGTGACTTCCTGCCATTAGTTGGGACACAGCTCTACTTATAATGCTCGAAGGCAACAACCCTGGTAAACCATATCCCAAAAGCACTCCCCAGGGTACATGATCTTAAGCTAGTCCAGAAAAATACTGCTTACTGTCTTTACACAATATATTCAATTTCACTCCTGAAGTCATTAAGTGGTGTTATTTTCCTTTTTGTACTACCAATATTCTCCTTGGCCTGCCTTACAAATTTTTATTTTAAAGTTTCCCTCCAGATTGACCTATTGTTGCTTTATTATCCACTTTTAACCGGAAGGTTTTTTTTCTGCTCTTCTTAAATCTCACTTTAGCACATGGTTTGTATGTACAGGCATAACGATAAGTTTGCAAGCCAATCCTGATGCAAAGTAAAATTACAAAACTATGATGTTGAAACTTGAAGCCAGGAGGGTACACAAACTCGGAATGGACAGGAAGATCTTGTGTCCAGTTATTACACTTATGTAGTTAATCACAATTTTAAATTTGTGTATTTTCTTATAACTTTTAAAGCATAGTATTTTCATATGTCCCAAGTCATTGGGGATTCCTGGAGGATGTACAGTTGGTATATTCTACGACAAACAACTATCGATCGTCATAACAAATCTAGAAATAGTTAAATGCTTTTGATTCTGTTGGCATTTTGTCCAACAATCAATAATGTGATGTAGCATCTTCTAACTTTTGCAACTATTAATAAAAATACTGAAAAAAACACCACCAAAAACAAAATGGACCCAAATAAAAGACAGTTTCATATTCCATTTAACAAGCAGGATTTTCCTTCAACAACTGCACATTTCTTGAAATGATGCCCAAATAAAAAAACTCTGCCTCACTGCTAATAATGGTAGTGTTTGCAAAAGGTGGGAAAGGTGGTGGCTTTGGATACTTGACTAGGAATTTGTTTGGTACAGTAATGGAGCTGCAGCAAGCTTTGCCGATAAAGAAGCGCCCTCCTCTCTGCTTAAGCTGGTAGCGTTGTCTACACACTCCAGTGGGTGCCCTCAAATTAAGCTGAAAATAAATAAATACGTAAAGGGCTGTAATTCCAGCCAGAGCCTCCGAGCAGCCCACTGCAGTCTCCATGATGGTGTTCCTAACGAGTGGCCGCTGATGCTGTTCCATATGCGCTTTCCATTTATTTCGTGATTCCAGTTAACGCATACTCAAATTAATCAATCATCACCCTATTTCGGCAGTTGGACACCAGCTTTTAACTTGGTCTTCGGCACCACCAGTATCTCATCACCGTCCTGAATGCTGTAGGAGTGCAGAGCCCGGGTTTTGTACTTCATTTCCTCCGGACCGAAGGCGCTGCACTTGTCGATGTAGTAGATCCTCATGCTGCTGGTGGACAGCTGGACCACTGTTGTCAGCTGCTTCTTCAGCTCAGCTACTGTCTGGTCCAAACGGATGCTCAGCTGACACAAAGACAAAAATGTTATGCAATTGTGACACTAATTTAATTTAGAATAAGTACAATTAACCAAAGTCTGGATATTTGTATTTCTCCGCTTCATTTGCTTTGCCCAGTGTGAAATAATATGTTGTTGATGCCAGGATCACGATTAATGGGTTACAATATATCACTCGAAGCCTTGCCTCTTTAGACATTCTACATTATACAACATAATATTACAGCCTGTTTAACACACCTGTTCCACTTTTTCCTCACAGTGAACTTCCACCTCGGCACGGCAGCGAGGTCGAAGGTCGATCTCAGCGAGAGGTTCTAGCTTCCCATACTTGGTTACTAGGGAATGGTATCTGAGGAGGAACAGAGCAGGTTGTGGTGTCAGTATTAAGAGTACACTCGTACCTATAATGCACGACACTAACACTCACACTCTTGTAGTTGGAGTACAGAGAATAAGTGCAGCGTACCTGTAAGGCAGCTGCTCCTCAGGGTAGTCTAGGTGGTATCGGATGAAGAATCTCTCTGCGTCTTCTCTCTCACTGTCAGTCACAACACTGCCATTAAGCAGTGATATTGAAGGAAGCCTATGAGGAAGCACACAATATTATTGACAATGTGTGAATCGGAAATTGACGTTGACTTAAGTCAGATTACTTTGGAAATGTTATACTGTATGTCATCCTTTTAAACACAAACAAACAAGCAGTTTATGGACAAAGGGATTTCCATTGTGGAGACTCACTGTGCTACCATGAGGCTGCGCTGCTCTGTGTTGGTGTAGGTCTGCAGTAAGGGAATGCCCTGCAGCCGCACCTCCTCCAGCCTGGGGAAGAAGTTGAGCTTCTCAATGTCCTCCCATCGGTTAAGTCCTGAAAACACACATCGAAAAGTCACTTTTCAAACAGTTATCAGGATAAATAAATAGCAACAGTTCACACGTATTATAATGAAGTGTGCTGTGTCTCTCGCAGATAACCCTTTTTTAAAAAACAAAACATTTATACATTTACTTGTTTGTCCACAGATGATTCTCGTGATGCATTTGTTACATAAAGTAAAAGAAAAAAACAAAGAAAAAGGCCAAAACATATGCCTTTAATCCAATAGCAAAAATAAAAAAGACAGGAATAAAAAAATTATGATAATTGAAATTGTTTATATTATCATATATAAGGTTAATTTAACTCTGTCCAACCCATGTGCTAACATTTCTCTGTGCAGTATGTTAAACCTGGTGTCTCATTTGAATAACAAGTACAATAAAGCTACAGCCTGTCAGCATAGTTTGTTTTTGATTTAAGATAGATCTTCAAGACATAATCTGAAACAACAAGACTAATGTTCAACTCTCAACAGAACTCCAAAAATAGATCGACCAGCAATACTCCCCAAAATAGAAACAATTCCTGAAAAAGTGATGTGGAGGGGGATCTGTTCCAATACTCTACAGATAAAACAAAGCTTTTAAGATACAATGACATGTTTGCCTTTGCTATTTTGTCAGCCATAAAGTCTTTGCGTACCGATGCTGACTCTGCCCTTCTGTACTGAGCTGAAAATCTGCAGCATATCAGTGTTTTACTACCAGAATGAAACTATAAATGTTTAAAGGACTGCATTTATATGGCGCTAAATCCAGTCTTTAATACTCCTCAAAGTGTTTTACATATACAAGTCATTCACCCATTCAAACCATAAGGTGTAGTACCGCTGTTTGGCCACGACGAAAATGTGCATCGACACGGCACACTTATGGCGCATTTCCACTACAGCGCGGTTTAAGCAGTTTGGCGGTTTGGCTTTAACCAAAAACGTTTTTGGTTGCGTTTCCACTAGGAATAGTACCGGCTATCGGGTACTATTTCACCGTTTTTTTTGGCCCCATAAAATCGAGGTTCTTAGCGGGCCAACAACCAGGCTGAGTCGGGCTGAGTATGCTAAACTAGAGAGAGAGAATCGCTGGCAAGGGGGCTACAACTACAACAAAATGAACATATTTGACCGTGATTTAATGGTAAAAAGTAACAACATACTGATACCGGTTAGTAAAAACCATGAATGAATGCTTTGACAAGTCAGCAGACAAGACGGCAGGCGAAAACCTTTTAAAATGCGTGTTTTCTGAATGGAGATCGGCAGTATATGCTCCAACCGTCCACACTCACAACAACGGCCTAGAGACAGACATAAATAAACCAGCGCCTGTATTCGCCATGACACAGACAGTCTGTGGTTTGTACTTGTTTAACTTTTGTCTAGTTTCTGAACAGATATGAGGAGCTGCGAGCTCTGAGTGCTAACAGCTAACGGCTGATGTTGTTTTTCTGTGGTTCGCATTGAAGATGACGTCACGGCTCTGCCTACACTGCGTTACTATAGTTACGGCCCGTCCACACGGCGTTGAAGTTCAACGCTTCTGCCCATTCACTTTGAATGGGGTGACGTCACACTTCGCCGAACTGCATTGTGGGAGCGTCGCTTCGCTTTGCTCGTGTTGCTCGCTTCAAAAAGTTGAGCAATGTTCAACTTTTGAAGCTTCGACGGAAGCATCAGCCAATCGAATCATATGCCAGTACAAGCTCTAGCCAATCAAACCGCGTGCTTGTGTGTCCGGGGCGGGAGATTCATGTGATTGGTTGTTGGTCGAGCTTCAGACACGCCTGCCGGCAAGCTTCAATGCACGCCGCTGTGTGGACGCTGCATTACTGCCCCAGCTACTAAACTGTAATGGGAACGCAGCATAAAGTGAGCCTGGCCTAACAAGGCCTAACTATACCGTACTAAGCCGAGCGAGGCCCTGCAATGGAAATTATTAGTGGGGTCTTGATTCAAACCCATTCATTCAGAGGCAGGGGATGCCATGCAAAGGGCCGCCTGCTCAGTCGTGGAATGTTACTAAGTACATTTACTCAATTGCTGTACTTAAGTACACATTTGAGGTACTAGAACCCAAGTATTTTCCTTTTATTTTCATTTTCAACTACTTTATACTTCTACTCTACTACATTTTATGAAGCAAATGTTGTACTTTTTACCCCACTGCATTAATGTTTCAGATGTATTCACTAGTTACTTACATTCTAAACTATAAAGAAAAAACATTTAAAATATGATTATTTGGTATAGATTAAACCATTCCAAAATTGTATTTAAGTAACTCAAAGTAACTTAAAAGTGGGCAATTTTGCTAAAAGTATTTCATAGTTCCAGCTTCTTAAAGGTTAAGATTTACTGAGTACTTTTACTCCTGATGCTAAGTATATTTCTTACGTACTTACAGTAAATACTTTTTATTAAGTATCATTCTTGATGCAGTACTTTTACTTGAGTATTTTTACAGTGTGGTAGGCCTATCAGTATTTTTACTCAAGTAAAGAATCTCAATACTTTTTCTACCACTGCACCTGCTCATGGAAGCTAACATTCACACACATTCACACAACCACATAACCCAGAACCTTCCAGTTGTTAGATGCCCGCAAAACCTCACCTCCACAGAAGCCAATAAGGGACATTAAAATGTTTACATTGTTTAACATGTCCCAAACCAAAACACACATACAAATCAACTCTCGTAACTGACCTGAGTTGTTCAGGTTGATGCTGCGTAGTTTGGGGAAGAGCCTCAGCAGGATATCCGTGCTGTCTTCAATGGAGGCCAAGTTGTTGTTTGCCATTATGAGCGTGTCCAGACTGGGGAACATGGAGCCAAACTTGCGGACCTCGGCCCAGTCCTTGAGGCTGTTGTCGGTGATGTGAAGGAGGCGCAGGCTGGGGCAGGCCATACTGGAGGCACTCACACTACTGTACTCATTAAGGCACAGGAACAACTCCTCCAGCCTGCAGAAGTGAACAGGGTGTGGGAAAAGGTGGTCACATAGAATTAAGTTTGTCCATTACGCAAAATATTTTGCTTATTTTGTTGACATATGTTGCTTATTTTCAGAAACTCCCTCTGAAGGGAACACAGGGATTTTAGCCTTTGCAGACCATTTACATGCACTAAACCTATGTAAACACACTAAAGGAAAGAGAAACCCCAAAAAAGCATGTTCCCCTGTCAAATTTAAATCTTGTATTATGAACAATTTGAAAATATGATTGTCTAGGCAGTCAGTGCAAAGCTTACAAATATACGGCATCCCTGCAGCACTCAATTACTAGTTTTCTCTCATCTTATATGCACTGTTAGCCAGTTCGTGGAGGAACGTAAAAGCAGTGATCTCCTTACTCAGTTGTCTCCCTGGTGAGCAGCAGCAGGGTGTCCCAGGACACCTGGGTGTTGTTGAAGACGAGGCGTCTGACCCGGGAGAAGCATTCAGCCCATCGCGGCTCCAGGGTCACTCCTCCCAGGGGGTTCGAGCTCAGGTTCAGGAACTCCAGGTTGGGGATGTTAGACACGATTTTACTGATCTGAGAAACGAGCGATGATGTGTTTTCACTTTAGAAAGTAGAAATGTAAACAGAAAACTACAACATTGATTTTACTTTTTGGACAGCAACATATTTTTACTGGACATTAGAATGTGTCAACGGTGAGCATCATTATGTGTTTTTAATTGTTATTTTTGGACTACAATAGGCTTCTATAGACAGCTATCCATACACATGTATCGCTAATATGAGCGTTAGTAAGGTTACATTAGATAGTGAAACTAATATTTTTTAAATCATTATCATCTATTCTCTCAATCCATTTTCATTGTCACATTTAGTTTTATCAATACACTGAAATATACTTTATCATCTCGGACAGGAGAATGAAGATTTTCGCTATACTTTTTTACACAAACTTTAGGCATTTCCACTCAGATTATTTTTAAAGAAATGGATGGAAATGCATTTTATGACAGAGAGGAATATTCCTTGGTTAAGTCCTAAGTCTTCCATTGTTGTAACTCTTGTAACTCTTTAAAACAATGACAATGAAGGAATTATATTCTGTTCTACTCTATTCTAATGTGTTGTATTCTATAAATGTTGCGTTTTACATTATCTTGGAATGGAAATGAACTACTGTAATAAACTCAGAGACGGCACCTCTTGCCAGTCCTGCAGCTTGTTGTGAGACAGGTCCAGCTCTATGACATGTGCGCAGAAAGCAGCGATCTCAGCCTGGTCTCCGGCCCTGTTGATCCCACAGCCGGTCAGCACCAGAATGCTGGGCAGGTTCAGACGGTCTGGAGGGGAGGTGGGGGAGGACGGAAGAAAATAAAAAGTAAGGGTTGGTCCGACAGAGGGGAAAGTTCTCACAGGAACAAGGATATTTATTTTGTTATGATCAAAGTGGCTTTGAGATTAAATGTAACGAGTCACAGGAAGCTTTGATATGTTACAACAAAGAATTTTCACTGAACACAATGGGAACGCGTGAAGTGTTAAAGTTCCAACGTTTTAAACTGTTGTACCACTGTTATACCGATGGCTGTTTGTGACCTCAACAAACAACGACATAAGCTGCATTCACATGACACGTGCCTAAACGGCTGTAAATTATCGCGGAGTGCTGCTCTGTTCACACCAGTTCACATTATTTCAACATTTTTGTTCATCGCTGACCTGTATGTATTAAACTAAAACAGAGCATTTTCTGTGAGCTCAGATTTTACTTCAGCTTTTTAAACTGTGGTATGTGCTCATGTGTTTCATTGTTGCTGTATAAGCTACTGCCTGAATATTCTTAACTAAAGGCACGCTTTCCTATGAATAAAATCTCTGAGCAGAGGAAACATTTTTGATCATGAAGTATCTTGTATTTTCTTGATTTCATTGTATTTGATATTGAGGTAATCTAAAAGTAACAGAAAGTAATCAGGTTGCATTACTTTTATATTGGGATACTCAGATTTGGCTACTGACTAAATATTTGTACAGGTAACTGGTAATTGTAACAGAATATATTTTTTTCTGTATATTTTATAATGTTTAGATACTCCTATTCCGTATATTTTATAATGTTTAGATTCTCCTATTCTGTATACCGTAATTTTCGGACTATAAGGCGCACCTGAATATAAGCCGCAGCAGCTAAATTGAATGATGTGTACATATATAAGCCGCACTGGACTATAAGCCGCAGGTGTTTTAATGTTTAATTACCATATGTAAGGGTTCGTGCACAGAGGGGATTGTCGGGAAAGAGATGGCTGTTTGAGGAAGCTCCCATTTATTAACATTTCAACAAACAAGTTGCATATTTGCATAACGTATTCAAGTGTTACCATTTAGTGCAGTGTTTCTCAAACTTTTTCATACCAAGGACCACTTAACCAATAAAAAACCACTCGCGGACCACCTAACTCCACAAATATCCCAAAACACATCGTTTTTCTAGAACAGATTATAAATCGCCTGGAAATGGTACAAACAAGTGGCAACATGTGTGACGAAGGTGTTGCCCTGGGCTTTATCATGCAATATAAAGTGAAACTTAAGCTCGTTCCATTGCGGAGATATTCCCGCGAGAGTGCGGAAAACTTAAATGTATTTATTTATTTCAAATGTGAAATGTTACCAATATACTCACGGACCACTAGGGGGCGCTCACGGACCACCAGTGGTCCGCGGACCACACTTTGAGAAGCACTGATTTAGTGCAATAGTAGCTACAGAACATGTACTGTGCTGTGTAAACTGTACTGTATCACATAGCGTTTCAGACACACACACTTTTCAACTTTCAAACTTAAACGGTGCGCTCCCAGCGCACATACCGGCAGTGATCTACAGCAGTGGTTTTCAACCAGTGGTCCTTGAGGGAGTGCTAGGGGTTCCCCAGCAAAATTAGTTAATAGCGTCACAATCACTTAGCTTTGGCTATTTTTGAAAAACCTTGAAAAAGTGTGCACATCTTTGAATATTTATATTTTTTAAAGCGAAAATTAACTGATATCTTTGCTTCTGGGGGTCCCTGGCACAAAATATTTTCAATTGGGGGTCCGCGGCCAAATGTGTATCAATTTAGGGGTCCTTGGCATGAAAAAGGTTGAAAACCACTGATCTACATTATAGCCTACAGTAGTACCATAACAAAAAACAAAGCTTACAGCGCTTGACGAGGCAATATCAATGGCTAAATTAAATGTGTTTTTTTAAAAGTGCAAAATAAAGTGCCTGTAACACGACAGTAAGCGCGTAAGCCTAAAGTTGCAGTAACACGGCTGCTTAAAATATACGGTAATCAGCCTACCAGAAAAGTCATTAATCCTCGTCTTCATCTTTTAGGCTAAGGTGCAGTACACGGCTGTAACCAGAAAAGTCAAGTCATTAATCCTCATCTTCGTCTTCTTCTTGCGTACTAAAACCACCAAAGTCCTCATCTTCAGTGTCGGAAAACGAACAGGCTCAGGGTGGCTTCGTCAGCCACTCTCCTCTCTCCTTCGTTGTCGCTCTCAAAACCAACGAACTCCTCTTCGTCACTGTCGGAATCGAACAGCCTCTGAAGGGCCTCAGCTGTGGCGGCATCCTCCTCTTCATCACGCAGCAGTCCAGCCTTTCGGAACCCGTTGGTGATCGTGGATGTTTTGACACTCCTCCACGCTGTCAGGATCCACTCGCAAACTTGAGCGAAAGTTGCTTTTCGCATGCGACCAGTTTTGGTGAATGATTTATCGCCGCTAGTCATCCACGCCTCCCACTGAACGCGTAGTGCCACTTTGAACGCACGATTGACACTGATGTCGAGTGGCTGCAGATGCTTCGTTGTGCCCCCAGGAATCACAGCTGGAATTGAGTTTGTGCTCTTGATGGCTGCTTTCACAGAATCTGTTATATGGGCCCTCATGCTGTCCAAAACGAGCAAAGCTTTTTTTTTGGCGAAAGAATCCTCCAGGGCGCTTGACGTAGCACTCATTCAGCCACTCCTTCATTACGCTTTCCATCATCCACCCTTTCTTGTTGACTTTAAAGGAGATGCCGTTCGGGATCTTTTCTTTTGGCATTGTAATCCGCTTAAAAATCACCATTGGCGGAAGCTTTAATCCAGATGCTGTGCAGCCAAGAACACAAGTGAAATTCGTTCTCTCGTGGCCAGTGGTTCTCAACGTGATGGACGATTCACCTTTCTTGTTAACAGTCCTAGTGAGAGGCAGGTCAAACGTCAAAGGCACTTCATCCATATTTATGATCTGGTCCGGTCCGATGGAATATTCCTTTATCTTTCTTTGTGTGAATTCGCCGAAGTTTGTTATTTGTTCCTGGTAGAGGGAGGGAGTTGCTGACACACAGTCGTCCGCGCCCTGATGGACAGTCCCTTTCGTCTCATAAATCTGAAACACCAGGATGGTCCACCTCTAAAATTTTCAATTTTCATTTCGGTGGCGACTGTTTTGGCCTTCAGTCGGATCTGCACGGTGGAAACACCTCGGCCGTCTGCTCTCTGTGTGTTCACCCAATCTTCAAAGTCTTCAAGTTCGGGCCATCTGCTTTTATTACCTCTGAAAGCTTTTTTTTGACTTTTTGCATTGAGACAGTTCTTCCCGCTGGCGTCTCCAACGTCTCACCATTGACTCATTGATGCCAAGGGTACGTGCAGCAGCTCTATTTCCTTCTTTTACTGCCATATTGACTGCCTTTAACCTAAAAGCTGCATCATATGCATTTCTACGTTTGTTTTCCATAATGAGGGTTTGTGCATGAAAACTTCCTTTGCACAAACTGTCTCGCTCTCGTAATGTCTGTCTGTCTTGCTCTCGTTCTGTCTCTCGTACCACTCTCGGTTCCACTTTTACTTTTGCGCGCTACCTGTCTCACTCTTTTCCGGCCTCCAGCTTTTCCTGCTGGAGCCCGCCGCTTAAAGGTGGGGGGCGCGGACCGGCCATAGAGCCCATAGAGTTAAAGGTGGTGGACTGTAACCTGTAAAATCCATAGATTTAGGAGGTCCCCTAGTGGCCGTTAGCTGTAAAAATCCATAGATTAGCCGCACCGTTATATAAGCCGCAGGGTCGAAGAATGGGAAAAAAGGCGCGGTTTATAGTCCGAAAATTATGGTATTTTATAATGTTTAGATACTCCTCTGAATAGAGATATTTTTTTATTCAGAATATGTGAAGTATATATTGTTTTTACATTTTCATTTTTAATTTCTATCTTTGATTTATTTGTATTCTATTCAATTTATTTTAAATAATGTTGTCATTCCTGAAGATCTACTGTCGACATGCTGCTGTGACAAAATAATCTCCATCCATATCCATCCATATCCATCCATATCCATCCATCCATCCATCCATAGTAACCCTGAAGTAAGCCTCCCAACCCTGCATTTAAATCAGCCAATTATATTAAGTAAATAAAGCCTTGGCCCCTTCTTAGGAAGCTGTGGTGGGATAAGGAAAAAGTGATATGCCTGTGCAGCTCACCTTTCATAGGGGAGCCTTGAGGACATGTGATGGGCACCACCACCACTCCTATACCGGGCCCTCTGCGGACAGGAAAGTTCTCTGGGCTGTACTTTTCACTCATGACCTCGACAAAGGTACGGCCAAACACGTCCTGTGGAGGCTCCATGGCTTGGTCCTGCTGAACAGCCCCCGCTCACCTGATGTGGAAAGGAGATACAAATCCACATTGATCCGCTGTCCACTCATGCATGGGCCCTGTTTAACCAACCCAGGCATATTTGCTGCTAAATAGATTACACATTACAGCACAACGGTTTATAAGGGCTGCAATTAGGCATATATGCTCCTTCAACTGATCAACATTTGACCTTGTTGTTGCGACATCTTGTTTCAACAGTTACAGTTTATTGTCCTTATGTGAACTCTTATCTGTACTGTCCTGTATTTCACTCTTACTCTGTTGCTGCTTTAACTACTGAATTTCCCTACAGGTTTCAATAAAGGTCCATCTTATCTTATCTTAACTAAGGATTATTTGATAACACTTTCTATGAAGAATATACGGTGGCCGACGGTTTGTTACTCTTCAGCTGATAATTCAAGTTATATTAATATAACATAGATCCATCTGATGTGTTTGAACCACTGTCCTGTCAAATATGTTTAATCTATTTCTATTTCTAAAATATATAACAGAAAGTGTCTTACCTGAAGAGACCTTTCCTTTGACTTGACCAGTATCACAGCTCACTGTCTTGTTGCGTTTGTAATGATGGCCTGTTAAAAAACACAAGAGTAGCTTAACTCCTTACACTGACAGATATATTTTATAACTACAAGTGAAACAGAATGTCATTAACTATATTTTTGAAAAGGGCCTTTTCAGTAGCATCTTACTCCAGTGCTGTGTCTGGAAGATGTCTGCAGAAGAATTGCTGGTCCCTTTTTGGTCAGTTGCTCAAGGCAGACCAGGACAGAGAGGACCGCTCACCACATGACACTGGAAAACAAACAAAGTCAAAGATCACTGCCCTTTCTACCTTGTTATTCATTTGCCAATATCAATCAAATCAAAAGAAGATGGAAGCACGTAGAAAATAATGCTGATGTGAAAGCCATTAAATGTGTTTAACTTCTGTAATACTTTACAACACTGGTGCTGTGACTATAATATTAATGAATAATTTCCCCATGAGGGATAAATAAAGTATCTATTTATTTATCTAAAATTATTTCCCAGTAGGCTACAAACCAGACAGCAATTTCATCCAGAGGTTTAAACAAAAATAAGGACAATTGTCTGTCAGGAGTAATAATGTATAAGTATGCAGTAAGTAAGCCATTTACAGAACAACATTAGTTTAAAAACAATTACATTGGTTCTGACTTGTTTTGTTACGTGTTAAATCCGCTAAACCGAACAGCCTTGATAAATCTATCAATGTTAAGTATATTTGTTCATCAGTAAATCTGTACATATGTAATATGTACAGATTACATATTACATCTTGTAAAACATGGTAGCAATCGATTAATCCCAAGTAACTCGTTGATTCGGCATATAATCGGTTAATAAAGCAATGACAAATTTAACAAAATGTCAAGTTTACTCTAGATCCTCTTACGGAGTAACATCTATTGGTTGAAACATGATAGCTGCATCAGCAGACAAACCGATTGTAAAGGTTGACATTTTATTGCACAATGTGCTACGTAAATCTATTAGATTTACGCCGATTTACTATGTAACTATTGCGGATGTTTATCAAATTCTCCCTGGTGTTACAGTATGCATCGGCCAATAAAGCGCAGGCATCTATACATCGACTGTTTTGTTAATTTAATTTGGCAGAGTCTGTTTTGTAGGGAGTCCGCTGTGAAATATGTCGTTGTGTTATTATTCTTTGCTTATCAGTTGACAGTTTATCAGTTTAAACCTGACAACCATCGATTCAACATACTATTGCTGTCAATTCGGCATTTACCGTTTTGACAAAGCAATAGTTATTAAGACCACATTTTTACTTTTAAACGTGCCTGCCTAGCTATAGCCCCTTACCAAGTTGAATCAAATTAGGAATAAGTGGTCCTGGCAACAACATGCACATCGATTATAAAAGATGATATTTCATTGTTTCAAGTGACACTTTTTCTATAAAACTAACGCCGAACTAATGTATACATGTTGCTGTTTTGTAATAGGTCTTATAGTGGGGGATTTATTTTATAAATATGTCAATAATATTAAGACAATTATAAATGTGCATATATTTTAAAGGAGTTTGGCTTTTTATTTGTACTAAAAAGCTTGTTGCTAACCCTGTACGGAAAATTACAACCCGGTTCCCCGTCATTTCCCCGGCTAAAGGAAACAACATAACTGATGAATAACAAGTACAAACTGCTGCTGTTGTTGCTTCTGAGCCCGGTAGCAGACATCGTACAGTCTGACCCCCAGCAGCAGCTCGATGGAGCCCGAGATGGATAACAGATGGCAACGATATAATACCTCCAATAATAACTACCTTATGACAGTATGTCAATAATACGCCTCAAAAACGGATACAATAGAAGGTCTTCGTTCCACATACCTTTGATGTCTACTTAGATTTTTCCTTGTTATTAAAAATAAACCAGCTGTCATTTTGCTCGCCGATACATCCCGGAAGTGACATAGCCTGATAGCTGAAAATGAGTTGTTGTTTTTTTCCTTTTCATTTATTGATTTATTTTTAGATTACCAGTTTAAAGTGTATATTTTATGAGCATCTTTTTGTCTCTATCCCACAAAACGAAAAGAAAACAGATACCCCTGAGACAAGGATGTCATTGTCAGTGGTGTCATGTAGTGAGGTAGCTACTTGTCTTTTACTCGAGTATTTTTTGAGATTTTGGAGTACTTTACATGATTATTTTAATTTCATGCTACTTTATACTTACTCCACTACATTTCAGAAGCCAATTTTGTACTTTTTACTCCACTTCATTTATTTGACAAATTAGTCAGTAGTTAGTTTACAGATTCAGCTTATTGGCTAACATAACATATAAATAAACTCTGACATATAATTACAGGTAAAAAAAATACCACATAAATGCATTAAAACAAATTATCCAGTAATTTAATATACATATTATGATTCTAAAAGGAGACATGAAGCACAATCACTACTTTATGTACTTTAAGTATATTTTGATGCCTATGCTTTTGTGCGTTTACTTAAGTTAGATTTTAAATGCAGGACTTTTACTTGGAACAGAGTATTTATTTACTGTAGTATTTCTACTTTTATTTAAGTAAAATATCTGAGTACTACTTACACCACTGGTCATTGTGTTACACATTTCTGTAATGTAGGCAGTAAATGACTGTATTACCCACAGTCATTTACTTTGAATTTGTAATACAGTGTAATGTTACAGTAATATTTGTTGTTACTGTACAATATTTCGCGGTGAAAATATCTGAGCATAAGGAAAGAACCGCTGTGACCTTAAACAGATATTTAGTAAGATAAACATTGCTATTATTGCCGTTTGTTGATGAAATTGAGGCTCAACTGACCTGACCCTACCAGCGCACCAAGGCTCATCATGTTAGGTAAGGATTTACTTTTGACATGTAAAGCTGAACATGTATTTTAATTCCACATTTTGTGTATGTGTGCTTCATACATGTATTTAATTTTTCAGTTTTGAAGTAGCAAACATTTTCAATTATATGCTGCCTTTTCCATTTTGTCCACCTCTCTTGCAGGGGACCCCTTTTAGCTCAGGAGCGCTGCTATCAGAATCTTTAATGTTCAGGAAATGTGACATGATCACATACCAGGTCTGCGTTATACTTCTTTTCGAAAGCACCTCGTTTAACTATTTTGCAAGATGTTAAAATAAAAATAATAAAAATATCGCCTCCTGATAGGATCAGTTTTGTTTCTTTTATATCTGTTATGAACTGTTATATTTATATCTGTTATGAACTGTTGTATTTTAATCTGTTATGAACTGTTCTATTTTACACATGTTTTTCATATTGAACTTAATATTGAAATTAAATCAATAAACATATTTTATTTAAATTGTATCCGAGTTTTTGTTTATCATTTCGGGTAGCGCCTATTGCAAATGAGACAAGGATCTAAAAGTGGTCAAAGATAAAACTGCAGTAATATACTGTTTTAATGCATGCATTACTGTAAAATGATACATTACAGTAATGTATTGTTATTTTACAATACCAGTATTGTATAATCACAGTAAAATATTGTTTTTGAGATTACAGCAACATACACAATTACAGTAATATACAGTAATATCAAAATGCAGCACTGATTTTATTACTGTAAACAAAATACAGCATCGCTACTGTAAAGTAAAAATACAGTAACTTATTTGAAACTCTGCTGCCAGTAATTTACTTTAAAATCCCCTGCAATTTTTGTACAGCCTGCTGCTGCTGAAGCACATGATTTTTCTTGTTTCATAAAAAAACTTGCCTGTCGTCCAACACTGAAACAACTGAAACGTTGACTTTAATGAAATAAACACTGAAACAATGCCTATAAACCAATTTAAATGGATTGAAAATATGTTTAAAGAAAAAAAGAAATTGTGAAACCCAAATGTTTGAAGCAGGGCCCTTTTTCGGCAGGAGTTGTGATATATAAGAGCTTTACATTTAAAGTAACCCATAAGTATTTAGATTACATTTATTTTGTTGTAATCCAATACTTTATGATAAAAACATGTAGTTTATACTCCTGAGTATTGCATTCAAATGTATCTGACCCAGCCCAGATTATGCTGATAGAGCTTTGTCATGGCAGATATTTCAACATGTTATGGTAGAGAATGCAGACTTGAAACTAATGACAACAAATATGTCAAATTTCACTTTGATTTATGAGGTTAAAGGCCTTGGTTTTGTGCATTCTGTCTCACTTTAACGGCTTAACACACTTAACAGCACATAGACACGTAAAACAGTTGCAAACAGACATAAACAACAACCAAGACACTCAAAATGAATACAAAGAGGTACACACATGGCCACAAAGACAAAACTCAACAGAAGAATATAACAAATTAGAAAGTCTGTGTCTTTCTTCTATATTTATTTATTGATTATTTATTTCTTATATTATATATATTTGGGAGAGCTGGTGGGGCATCTTGAATGTCAAGGTCCCATTAGTGAGTGGTGTATTTTAATGTTTCAGGTAAAGAGAGCAAACCAAGTCAAACATTGCCACCTACAGGACAACACACTTCATGAACAGTGAATACATGTGGAAAAACATAAATGGTCAAATAATTTAAGTTAAAGATTAGAATTTAAGCATTCTCAAGAATACACTTATCAATGCTCTCATTCAATTCAAGTTGGCATAATAGATTTCTGTCTAGAGTTTGAATCCCAAAGATGCATCAGTCAGTTGATTACTTTTCTAATAGACGTAAACAAATTGTACGCAACACTAGTTTGTACATTCTGGTTTGGCCCGAGGCTTTCAGGTGACCGCTCCTACATTTGTTACGTCCTGTCAATGAAAGATCAGAACCAAATCCCCTTTTTGGTATCCAATGTAAGAACCATCATCTTGTAAGGAAAAGTCTAATAGCTTTGCCTACTGTAGCCTATCTGACTTACCTCTTTAAACACTGGATGATAGATACAGGATCACAATCAGATCAGAAATGCTTTAATAATCAAAGAGGGAAATTGGTTTTCGTGACAGTTGTTTGATTTAGATTGAACAGAATAGAATGCAATAAAATATATATAATATAAATATAAGAAGTACAAATGCAAGATAAAATAAGATATATAAATATGAAACATGTAAGTAATATAATCCAGTGATATAATAAATATTATTCTGAAAATGGCCACTTTAGATATTAAATGAAGCTCAGCGCAAGTTCAAGTAGGAAGACTGGGGATACCTTCATTAACTCCACAGCTGCACATAATCAGCCATCATGGGGTTCTCTTTTAACCAATTATTTCACCGCAATCTCCAGCAGCCCATCATCGTGCTGCAGTCAAACTTTTAAATCATTCTCCTCTCTCCTGCAGTCAGCTGTGATTTCAGGTGTCATGCTCCACCCCAACTACCTCCTTTCATCATGTCCAGTGCCCAGGAGAACTCATCTAAAGACCTCATCACACATCCTCTTCATCCCATCTCCTTATCAAATCCAGATCCTTAGAATCCTCTTCTTCCCATCTCCTCATCAGATCCAGATCTTCAACATCACCACCAAATTCTAGACCCGGGGAGTTATCCGTTTTTTTTCCACTTTAAGATATACAATATCAGGATCGAGGTCTAATCGCCAAAAACTAATAACATTTATATCACATGGCACGTGTGTCCATAAATCCAAAAATAATTGAAGTACTTTTAGATTGAGTAGTCAAGTATATTCTGCCGATAATACTTTTGTACTTTGTTTATGGATGGATGTTTACTTTAAACAGAATATGTGGATTATTACTTTTACTTAACCCTCTATGGCATTACTTTTTATTTTGGGAGGAAAAAAATGTTTCACCATGTGTTTTAGGAGCTTAGGGGTCCCTGATATTATATAAATTATAAAATGTGACCCCCCCTCACCCCTCAACCAGGGGTTGGTTTGTTGCCTCAGGGCAACACTGTGCTACGAGGGTATTGAAACACCAAGGATTTCTACCATTCAGAAGAAATAGAAAAAACAACTCTATATGAATTCAAAAGGTTTTCTGTGTGTGTGTGTGTGTGTGTGTGTGTGTGTATGTGCGTGTCTGTGTGTGTCTGCATGTGTGTGTGTTTGTGTGTATGTGTTTGTATGTCTCTGTGTGTGTGTGTGGGTGGGTGGGTGTGTGTCTGTGCGTGTGTGTGTCTGTGTGTATGTGTTTGTGTGTGTATATCTGTGTGTATGTACGTGTGTGTGTGTGTGACGTGTATGTGTGTATGTGTTTGTATGTCTCTATGTGTGTGTGTGTGTGTGTGTGTGTGTGTGTGTGTATGTGTGTGTGTTTGTGTGTGTCTGTGTGTATGTATGTGTGTGTGTCTGTGCGTGTGTGTGTATGTGTTTGTATGTGTATGTGAGTGTGTGTGTGTGTGCGTGTGTGTGTGTATGTATGTATGTATGTATGTGTGTGTGTGTGTGTGTGTGTGTGTGTGTTTGTGTGTCTGTGCATGTGTGTGTGTGTCTGTGTCTGTGTGTATGTGTTTGTGTGTGTGTCTCTCTGTGTATGTGTTTGTGTGTGTATATCTGTGTGTATGTACGTGTGTGTGTGTGACGTGTATGTGTGTATGTCTCTCTGTGTGTGTGTGTGTGTGTGTCTGTGTGTGTCTGTGCGTGTGTGTATGTGTGTGTTTGTGTGTGTCTGTGTGTATGTATGTGTACGTGTGTGTGTGTATGTGTGTGTCTCTGTATGGGTGTGTGTGTGTGAGTGTGTGTGTCTGTGTGTTTGTATGTCTCTCTGTGTGTGTGTCTGTGTGTGTGTGCGTGTTTGTGTGTGTATGTGTGTGTGTCTGTGCGTGTGTGTGTATGTGTTTGTATGTGTGTGTCTCTCTGTGTGTGTGTGTGTGTGTGTCTGTGTCTGTGTCTGTGTTTGTCTGTGTGTGTATCTGTGTGTGTTTCTGTGTGTGTGTGTATGTGTGCATGTGTGTGTTTGTGTCCCTGATATTATATAAATT